TTATCATAAGACAAATTTAAAATCTTAAAATTTTATGTTATTTAGTCCACTTTTCTTAAAGTGAAAAAAAAAAAAAGACTTGGGAATTCCAATCTTTCCATGACTACTAGCTGGTCGGCAGCATGAAGAGGTTTCCCCCCACCTACATATTTCCCACTTTGATCTAGTTCTGTTGCCACCATGCTATAATACCTTTCAGATAATAAAGTAAGATTTATCCTATTACAGTTTACATTTTTCTGCTTGCCAATTTTGGATTCATAGAAAAATTAAATTAATAAAAATCTTCCCTCTCCCACTCAAAAAAAAAAATGTAAACAGGGAAAGTTGGCAGTGGATACACTTTCAAATGGTTATCAAAATTTTTTTAATTATAATAACTAATACTTTTAACACTTACCTTTGGCACGAAGTACATTAAGCACTTTTAAAGTGCATCATTTCATTTAAACATTACAACAGACCTATAAAGTAGGCATTAGCCTGTAGTGTTAGTCATTCAGTCCTGTCCAACTCTGCAACCCCTTGGACTGTCTCCCGCCAGGATCCTCTGTCCATGGAATTTTCCAGCAAGAATACTGGAGCAGATAACCATTCCCTTCTCCAGTGGCTCTTCCCAAGTCAGGGATGGAACCCAAGTCTCCTGCATTGCAGGCAGTTTCTTTATGAGTTGAGCCACCAGGGAAGCCTTTAAAGTAGGGATTAACTAATGTTTATTTTTACAGACAAAGAGACTGAAGCAGGTATGATTTAGAATCTGCTCACTGATCACCCAGTTGATAAATAGAAGAGTTGGGGCGTGGACCCACTAGAACCCATGCCCTTAAACACTGAGCTACTAAGACAAAGCTCTGTAGAAAGGAGATCATATCCGTTAACTGACTCCAGACCGCACAGCTTGTATTATATCCATGATTTCATCTCCATCACCTAGCACAGTATAAGCCTACTTTATGTTATTAGAATAAACATGGATTACTATTTATTCAGTAGTGCTGACTCATTAATCAAAACTTAACCCACTGTGATTTATTCTTTGCTCAGAAAATAATTATTGATCTGATAGTCACTACATGTTGAATCGTATTCTAGTATCTACATGAAAATACCTAAGAAGCCCAAGGAGGTAAGGCTGGAGGTGGGGCCCTAAGGGCAGGATCAGTGGGGACTAGGAGAAGGGCGGACCCATTGTTGGGGGAACACGCTTCCTGAGGAGGGGGACACCAGTTAGGGGAGGACCAGTACCAGGAGGAAGCTGTGCGTGGGGAGGTTGTGGAAACCGCGAGCGACAACAGGTAACGCTCCAAGCCTTTCCTCCGCGGATTCGGAATTTCTTTTTCCTCAGATACTCTTTACTTAGCACTTCCTCACAGTCTCCTGGTTCGAGACAGAAGTTTGACCCAGCCACCTCTCCCACCCCAGGGGATTTTTTTTATCGTGCTGTAGAGTTGAGCTCCTAGCGACACCAGAATGGGAGTAGAGGAAACCAGGAGCCCTAGGCCTTAGGGCAGGCCTCACGCAGTGTGGCGAAGCGGGTGGGGGTTGGGGAGATAACACAAAGCTATCCTGGGGTGTGGAGGGCCAGGCTGAGCAGGGTGGGGGCGAGGGCAAGGAAGGAAATGGGGCCGCGCCCACTGTGGGGGTGGTTGAATTTGGTGTTGTGGAGGTCATGAGTCAGTCCTGGCTTCTCAGCAAATCCAATCACTGAATCAGCAGGCTGTGACCTAGTCCACTGGGCAAGTAGACCATACCAACTGAAGAGATCTTGATCTTGTCCCTCCTGCATTGGAGGAGAGGTAATGAAGACATCTATAAACAATCAGATGGCTTGGCCAGTATGACAAAAAGTGAGAGCATGTGTTGATAGTCAGTGTAATATTAGTGATGATTTTATGAGGAAAAACACCTCAAGGGTCTGATTAGGAGGAAGGAGTTGGGAGAAATCAACCTCAAATTAAAACAAACTTAGTTCAGGAGCCAGATTCCAAGACAAAGCTCTAGTAAAACCTTTTATTTATTTAAAATGTTAGGAACTACAGAGAAGACATACAGATGGCCGGTAGGCACGTGAAGAGATGTAGGTCAAAGTTATAATGAGGTACCACATTACACTGGTCAGAATGGTCATCATTTAAAAGTCTACAAGTAACAAATGCTGAAGAGGTTGTGGAGAAAAGGGAACCCTGGTACACTGTTTGTAGGAATGTAAATTCCTACAGCAACTATGGAAAACTGTGTGGAGCGTCCTCAGAAAGCTAAAAGTAGAATTACTATATGATCTAGCAGTCCCACTCCTGGGCATATACCCAGACAAAACTGTAATTCAGATGTATGCCATGAACCCCTATGTTCATAGCAACACTATTCACAGTAACCGAAAGATGGAAACAACTTAAATGTCTAGCAACAGATGAATGGATAAAGAAGATGTGGTACATATACACAATGGAATACTACTCAGCCATAAAAAAGAATGAACTAATGCCATTTGCAGCAACATGGATGCAACTAGAGAGTATAGTACTAAGTGAAATAAGTCAGAAAGAGAAATATCACTTTCAATATCACCTACAATATCACTTGTATGTGGAATTTAAAACATGGCATAAATGAACCTGTCTACAAGAGAAACAAGCTTGCAGACATAGAGAACAGACTTGTGTTTGCCAAGAGGGAGGAGAGGGAGGAGGGTAGGGGAGAAAAGGACTAGGAGTTTGGGATTAGCAGATGCAAACTGTTATATTTAGGAAAGATGAAGAACAAGGTTCTACTGTATAGCACAGGAAACTATATTTAATATCCTGTGATAAACCATAATGGAAAAGAATATATGGACATAGCTGAGTCACTTTGCTGTATAGCAGAGCATGACACAACATTGTAAATCATTTGTACTTCAATAAAAAAATTTTTAATTAAAAAAATGTTAGAAATGAAGAAAAGTTGTGAGGAAAGATTTTGCATCATTACTTCAGATTATCCTATAAATTAAACAAAAATAGTATATTAAATTGTGATGAATTCTGAATTTTACCCCAAAAGGAATTTTACTACATTTATCATGGGATGCCATTGCAGTTAGTCTTCTGTCTTAAGGATCAAGTTTTAACTATTTAAGAGTTTTACTACTATATGTGATACAGAGGGTAATAATTCAGTAAACTGAAAATACACAGCTAAAATTCAAATTTAAAACTACTAATAGTTGTTAATGCAGTATAATATAAAAAGAGAAAGGAAATGGGATTTCTTTATAAAGTAACAAATTGTCAGACAATGTCTATGTTTTGGGGTACCTCATTTTAAACAATATGTCCCCAAAATTACTTTGAGTTATTATTTTAGGAATTTGACTTACCTTTAACTTTGGACTGGGGCTTCCCTGGTGGCTTAGAGGGTAAGAGTCTGCCTGCAATCCAGGAGACCCGGGTTCAATCCCTGGGTCGGGAAGATCCCCTGGTGAAGGAAATGGCAACCCACACCAGTATTCTTGCCTGGAAAATCCCAAGGATGGAGGAGCCTGGTGGGCTACAGTCCATGGGGTCGCAAAGAGTCAGACATGACTGAGCAACTTCACTTTCCTTTACTCTGGACTACTTATCACTGCACTATCACACACCAGGCATTGGCACATACCCTATCCTCCATCTAGAATACCTAAATTTCACATTTTTATTTTCTTCTTTGTGTTTGCTAGAGAGAAGTCTAAAGACAAGTATCTCATACATTTAGATTGTTTTAATCCTGATTCTTCTAGACATTCTTCCACCCTCAAATGTAAGTACTTGCTGTTTTGCAAAAGTCAGTTTCTCCATCCTAACTAGATGAGCTTACCTCTGGAATTCTGCAGAATTTCTTGTGATTGATTCCACAGAACTGAAACTGGAACTCTTATTCTTCACTTCAGTAGTTAGCTGGTTATACCCCAAAGTACTCTTACATAAAAGAATAGAAATACTTAGTGCTTGCTTTGAGCATATTAATTTTCTTATGTTCTTTATTTACCAAACAGGTTGCCAGCCAAATAAATAAGAAAATTAATTGTATATGTCTATTCAGGCTGCTGCTATAACAAAATACTACAGGCTCAGTGGCTTAAACAACAGAAATTTATTTTCTCATAGTTCTGGAAGCTGAGAAGTCCAACATTAAGGTGACATCAGTGTTGATAGCTCGTGAAGACCCTCTCCTTGGGTTTCAGAGAGCCACCCCCTCACTGTCTGCTCACAGGGCCTATCCTCAGTGTGAATGTGTGGAGAGAGAACAAAATCACTCTCTTCCTCTTCTTATAAGGCCACAGTCTTATCAGATTAGGGCCATACCTTTATGATTTCATTCAATCTTAATTTTCTCGTAAATATTCTATATCCAAATATAGTCACAGTTGGGTTTAGAGCTTCAACATAAGAATTTTGAAGGAGACATAGTTTAATTCCTAGCAATAAGCAGACTACCAAGAAATACAGCAAAAATTATTTGTGGCATGATAGCTAAATATTTTAAACACTTTAAATTGAAAATACATACAAATACAAGTGTCTGTCAGTCATGTCCAACTCTTTGTGACCCCATGGACTGACTATAGCCTGCCAGGCTTCTCTGTCCATGGAATTCTCCAGGCAAGAATACTGGAATGGGTAGCTATATTTAAAAGCCATGTATCAGATTTAGTAATGCATCAGATTTTAAATGCAGTCATACTGATGGCAAAGAGCTGAATGATGAATGGTGGCATAATTTTTGTGTAATAGGAACAAGTAACTTCTACATATGCACATATCATTGCACTAATTTTAGATTTGTTTAGAGAAAACTTGGCTGGAGTGGGTGTGCAGAGGAGTAGAGAAGCCTTAATTCATTTGATCATTGTTAATAATGGGGGTATAATAAAAATTCTCTTGAGTGCAATACAGAAACTTTAGTATTTGGACTATTATTATTATAGTGCTTTGTACTTTGTTTGTTTGTTTTAACACCATCTACTCTTCACTAGTTTAGATATGAATCAAAACAGCGAAGGATGTATGAAAAAGATTAGCAATGTGAATCTTGACAAACTTATAACTGACTTTTCACAGATAGAAAAGGTATGTAAAGATATCAAACAATTGTAGAATATAAGGAAAAGTGTAACAGATTTTGTCAATGGAGGGAGTTAGGAAGAAAATATATATATATATATATATACAAAAAAGAAGCAAGGTAAAAATAATGGGAAGGTATTTTTTAAGCCCCTTCTCTCTCATTTTTAAAATCTGTATTTAGAATGTATGTGGTTGTAACTCATTAAAACTAATATCAAAATGCTTGGGGGGCAAGGGAGCAAATAATTGATATACTTTTGCTAAAGTTAAAGGGGAAATACATATGTATATACCCAGGATGTCCATAAACTCAAGAATGGTTTAGTAAGGATTGAAGTAGATTCAATCTTCAATCTCTTACTGTTATGACTAATTTCCTTTCTAGTCTTTCCTGTTCCATCTGTTCCCTTTTCTCTTTTGCCTAAAAGCAAACCTGTTTGAAGTCTCCCTCCCCAACTCTACACAAATTATATGTCAGACCATATCCTCAAGTATATACTAGGCTTTTTGTCTCCTCTGCCTGGGAGAGGAGTAGGAATATCTGTTGAGAAATGTAAGTGGATAAATCAGATTTGGGAAGTGGATTTGTGAAACAGGAATAGGAGGAAGAATAATCCCTACCTCTATTTTCTCTTTTTCTTATCATCCTTCTATATTCCTTCTTTTCCTCTGCACAATGTAGTATTGCCATCATAAAAAAATTTTCATGATGATGGGTATTTTCATATAATGAGCTTTTTTCAACAATGGACTTATATAGTTTTTTTAACCAAGTGATTCTGACCAAAGTGAGAGATTAGAGAGAAGGAAATAACACTTTGGTGGGAGAGGAACTGGTACAAAGCGTTTGGAGCTTAACTTGGAATTATCTCTCATATTCTTAGATATTTTAAATTAGAAATATTGTCCTTTTTTGATGTCATAATGGTATTGTGATTGTACTTTTGAGTCATCTCTTAGAGAGGCATATAAATGATAATATTTATCAAAGAAATAATATAGTGTCAAGGAGTTGCTTTGAGATAAATTCAGAAGTGATGAGAATAGAGAATGGGTAGAAGTATAGATTATACAGGATAGGTTATGAATTGATGATTTTGAAGGTGTTTAACTGGTACATGGCAGTTATTACATTATTCATAAAGATATATATTTGAGAACATTTATTCATTGTCTGTAATAGCAAAAAATGGGAACAGCACAAATTTTCCTCAATAGGGAACTATTTAAATAAATCATATTCATGAAAGAAACTCAATGAAGCTGTTAAAAAGAAAGAGGTAAGACTTTTACATGCTTATGTGCCATCATCTCTGAGAAAGTAGTACTAAGTGGAAAATCCAAGGTGCAGAACAGAGTATAATGTGACCCTTTCCTATAGTTGTGTAGTCATAAAATATTCTGGAAATATTTATAAGAAATGATTAATTTTAGGACTGGAGGTTAAATAGTTGGAAAGAAGGGAGTTCAAATTAGGTCATATTTTTACTTTTTATAACTTCCTATAACTGTTCACCTATTTTAACTTTTTATTATGTTACTCTTTAAATTAAAGATAAATTAGGAAGTTGACTTATTTAAAAATGTGTGCCAGACTTAATTATTAGACTTTCAGGTATTAAATGTTTATACTTTCATATTCTTACATTAAAAAAAAATCAAAATAGCAGCATTGATTTGGTGATAAAATGAATTCTGTTTTTTCTATAGAAAATTATAGAATCCAGTGGGAAGAACAATATCCTGAATATGCAGTTGGAAAAAGCTAACTGTTTATTAAGAGTAATGCAAACAAAAGAGGTCTCAATGAAACAAGGTTAGTTCTTTGCTGCCTATAGAAACAGTCATTCTAATGAGTGTGCTTTTTGCTATAACAGTAATTTTACATTTGTAAAATATTTTTAATTCATATAGAACTTTTCAGATTAATATTTCATTTTGTCCTTAATATAGTCCTGAAAGACTATATAGATAAGACTGGTATTATTATTCCACTTTGATAATGAAGAAACATGAACAAAGGAGAGTAATCTGTCTGCGTCCAATCAGCTGCTGCTGCTAAGTCACTTCAGTCGTGTCCGACTCTGTGCAACCCCATAGATGGCAGCCCATCAGGCTCCCCAGTCCCTGGGATTCTCCAGGCAAAAACACTGGAGTGAGTTGCCATTTCCTTCTCCAGTGCATGAAAGTGAAAAGTGAAAGTGAAGTCACTCAGTCGTGTCCGACTCTTAGCGACCCCACGGACTGCAGCCTACCAGGCTCCTCAGTCCATGGAATTTTCAAGGCAGGAGTACTGGAGTGGGGTGCCATTGCCTTCTCCAGTCCAGTCAACTAAGAAATGACAAATCCAAGGCTCAGTCCAGGCCTTCAAACACGTGGAAAAAGTACAGCTGAATTCCTGCCTCACAATTACACCGAAAGAAACTTCAGATGGGTCAAAAATTTTAGTGTTAGAAAGACGTTGTCCTAGTCCCGCTCACTTCTCAGACATCCATGCCGTGTGCTCTGCTCAGCTCCCAGCTGCCACCATCCCTCCTGTGTCTACTCTGCCCCCTCTCTGTGCACCCCTTAGCCCTCAGGGAGCGTTGGAGCCCGGGCACCCAGCCTGGCATGGTGCTACTCGTTGAGAAAGTGGCATTGCTCTGTGGCACAAAGGTCTGGGGCTACACTCAGCTGAACAAGCTGCATGGCAACTTCACCCCAGGCCTGGAAGTGCTGCTCTTCCCATGCAGCTCGTTCCAGGCATCAGGAGAACGCTAGGTACAAAGAGAGCCTGAGTTCCCTCAAGTTCAGAGACTTTTGCAGAAGTGTATGGTGAGTGGCTTGCAGATGCACCTGCTCTGCACCTTCCTGTGGAAGGCCTTGCCCTGGCCCCCTGACAACCACTGTTTTCAACAGCTTCCAAGCTCATCACTTGGTCTCTGTGTGCTGCAGTGATATTGCCTGGAACTTGGAGAAGTTCCCAGAAGGTGCATCTGTGCCCAACATGGAAACACTGCTATCCCAGGAGCCCAGCTCTGCCTAGGGCTCCCCTCCTACTTCTGCTGCTTGCCAGTCACAGTGATACCCTCTGTGTGGGCTTCATCCATATTTCCTCTAAACCTGCATGGAGAAACCGCCTGATGACCAGGAAAATCCCCCTAGATGGATGCTAGTCCTGACCATCCCAGCCTCCCCTTTTGCAGACCAAGCCTCCTTACTAATAAAGTGCTGGGCATCAGGAAAAGAAAAAAAGAAGCCATATGCATACACTTCCTTATTATGTCAACTGAGAGGGCACATAATCCATAGCAGCAAGCAAAACTAGCAGCAAATTTCTAACACTGTTTTATTACAAAAGGAACCAGGACCTCTTGAAGAAATAGCTGATTCTAAGACAGGAGCAAGAAATGTATAAGTCTAAAGCATCTTGTAGTACCAGGAAATAAAGTGCTCAAAAAGGAAAATACTGCATAATAATGGAGTATGTCAAAGATACAGGACTCAAGTGAAAAAATTCTCAATGACCAAAGCTGGAACAATTTGAGCGACAAAATAAAGTAGTATTAGATTAAAACCCCAGGTATATCCATGAGTACATAGTCATAAAAATAAATGAATAAATAAATGGAGTGAAGAGATAAATCTCTGCAGAATTCCAAATAGCTTATGTAAATGACTTGGCCTCAAGGAAATATAATGCGGCACTCATCAGGTGTGTGCTGTGTATAGTGATTTTCTTCACTATAGTGAAACATATACTGAATGGAAAAGGGGGTGATAAAGAGTAATTATATAGTGGGGAAATCTGACGTACACAACTTAAGGCACGAAATCAAGGTCAACTTGATGTCATGTTGATAGTAGTTACCCTAGCTATGATGTGATGAAAATGGCACTTTACTTCTATGTTCTTCCTCCCTATAACCTCATCTCATCATGAGGTAAGTATCACATTCACATAGAGGGATATCTACAAAAGACCTGGCCAGTAGTCTGAAAAACTTAAGTGCATCAAAAACAAGAAACCTCTGAGAAACTGTCACAGTAAAGAGGGCCTGAAGAAGACATGACAACTGAATGTAACGTGGTACTGTGGATAGAATCATAGAATAGAGAAAGGACATTAGGTTAAAAATTAAGAAAATCAGAGTTAAGTATGCATGCGCGCTAAGGCACTTCAGTTGTGTCTGACTTTGTGCAACCCTATAGACTGCAGTCCACCAGGCTTCTCTGTCATAAGATTCTCCAGGCAAGAATGCTGGAGTGGGTTACCATTTCCTTCTCCAGGGGATCTTCCCGACCATTGGCAGGCAGTTTCTTTACCACCAGTGCCACCTGGGAAGCCTGAGTATAGTATAGATTTTAATTAATAATAATGTATCAACATTGGTTCATTAATTGTAACAAACATACTGTACTAAAGTAAGATATTAATAATAGGGGAAACTTAGCTAAGAATATTTCACAACTCTGTAGCATCTTCCCAAGTTTTCTGTACATCTGTGCTCATTCACTCAGTCGTGCCCGACTCTTTCAACCCTGTGGACTGTAGCCCACCAAGCTCCTCTGTCCATGAGATTTTCCAGGCAAGAATTCTGGAGCAGGTTGCCGTTTCATACTCCAGAGGATCTTCCCGACCCAGGCATCAAACCAGCATCTCTTATGACTCCAGTATTGGCAGGCAGATTCTTTACCACTAGCACCACCTGGGAAGCCTGTCTATATATCTAAAACTGTTCTGAACAATAAAGTTAATTAAAGGTGAAAAAGTGAAGCCACAATGGAAGAGACTATAGGGAGCTTTGGTTTTATGTTTTTAAGATGAGGAAGCCTTTCCAAGTGTGACATCTATCAGTGGATATTTGGTTAAATAAATTATGGTATATTTTGTAATGAACTACTATATAACTGATAAAAAGAATGAACTGTCTTTATATGATATAGCATAATCTCCCACATATAGTAAATGAAAATAATAATGTACACAGAAGTGTATTATCATTTTTACTAAAATATATCTTAACACACAATCACCCTCTCCCCTGTATATTTGTAGATCCCTGGAAAGATAAACAGTGTCCTAGTAACAGTGTTTGCTTTGAGGGGAGGAAACTGGTTAGTTTTGGGGCAGAGATTGTCAAGATATTCACTTATCACTAAACTTGTGTTTCATGTATGTGTATTATTTGAAAAACATAATCAAATACTTCCTTAAAAATTAGTTATTCTAAATCTAATGACCTTTTTCTGAATAATACACAGTAGAAGTGAAAGAACAAGTGAGGATGATCTCTTAGAAAGCAGTGTGTTCTAATTCACTTAGGAAGGAATCACATGTGTGTGTTCAAAAGTAAATCATGATATCTTTATATTTTATTTTCTTCACTTGATATCAGATAAACAATGCCTTTGCCAGCTCAAGATGGTAACAATATTGATATTGAAGATCAAGTGCTGTTTAAAAAAAAGCCTTTTCATGCACATTTTATTTAATATTTCCAACTGATTTATGATATAGATATTAACGCCCAAATTGCTTGTAATGGTAGAGCCTAAACAGTCACTGATTTACTAAATTATACAATATAAGTGATAGCTTTTAATGTTCTGAGCTCTAGGTTTGTTTTTTTTTTCCATTTATTTTTATTAGTTGGAGGCTAATTACTTTACAACATTGCAGTGGTTTTTGTCATACATTGAAATGAATTAGCCATGGATTTACATGTATTCCCCATCCCCATCGCCCCTCCCACCTCCCTCTCCACCCGATCCCTCTGGGTCTTCCCAGTGCACCAGGCCCGAGCACTTGTCTCATGCACCCGACCTAGGCTGGTGATCTGTTTCACCCTAGATAATATACATGTTTCGATGCTGTTCTCTTGAAACATCCCACCCTTGCCTTCTCCCAGAGTCCACAAGTCTGTTCTATACATCTGAGTCTCTTTTTCTGTTTTGCATATAGGGTTATTGTTACCATCTTTCTAAATTCCATATATATGTGTTAGTATACTGTAATGGTCTTTATCTTTCTGGCTTACTTCGCTCTGTATAATGGGCTCCAGTTTCATCCATCTCATTAGAACTGATTCAAATGAATTCTTTTTAATGGCTGATTAATATTCCATGGTGTATATGTCCCACAGCTTCCTCATCCATTCGTCTGCTGATGGGCATCTAGGTTGCTTCCATGTCCTGGCTATTATAAACAGTGCTGCGATGAACACTGGGGTGCACGTGTCTCTTTCAGATCTGGTTTCCTCGGTGTGTATGCCCAGAAGTCGGATTGCTGGGTCATATGGCAGTTCTATTTCCAGCTTTTTAAGAAATCTCCACACTGTTTTCCATAGTGGCTGTACTAATTTGCATTCCCACCAACAGTGTAAGAGGGTTCCCTTTTCTCCACACCCTCTCCAGCATTTATTGCTTGTAGACTTTTGGATAGCAGCCATCCTGACTGGCGTATAATGTGAGCTCTAGTTTTTAAGAATTGGATAGGATAGTATTCTTCAAATTATACTGTAAAGTCCAACAGAAATGATGCATAGAAGTTTTGCAAAGAGAATTAAAAGCTATTATTCTAAAATAACGAATGATATTCTATTTTATGGGGCTTCCCTGGTGGCTCACATTTGGTAAAGAATCTGCCTGCAATGCCGGACACCCAAGTAAAATTCCTTAATGAGCCAGTTTCCTGTTTTTAAAACTGTGTTTAGAGAGCCACCTTGTGTTCTAAATTTGAAAGTACACAGTTTGGAAACATTCAGTATACTTTCAGTTTCAGGGTTCTGTTTTCAATTTGCTAGTTACTGAGATAACATACTTTATGCATGCTGGATTCATGCTTCTAAAGGTGCAAGGACAAGTGATGGCAGGATCTATGCCTCCATTTTTAATTGCAGCAGCTAATACAGTAATATACATGAATAGGTAATATCAGTTGTCATTTAACCATCATTCTGTTACTGGGACTCAGCAACAGAACAAAATGGAGGATGGTGGGAACTTTGAGTTGGTGACAGGGGAGGTAGAGGGGGAAAGTGGGGGAGTAGGACCTTGTACTTGCATAAAGCTTTTAACTTCTACCGAATACTTTCTTTTCTATTAATGTAGTTGAAGTACATAGAGACTGAGTTATAGGACCTCTAACTGAAAACAGGAAGTTTTGAACTCTCCCCTCACAGTGTTGGTTTTCTCATTTAGTTAATAAATACAAAAACTATTGAACACTTATGAAATAGTCATCACATTAGAAGTAAGGATTATCAAAATAAGTATCTTTACCTGAAAGAGTTCACTATCTAGTGGGAGAAACCATCTAACTAAAATGTAATGTGAACGATGGATAAAAGCAATATAGACAAATCGTGGGACACAGAGGAGAGAAACAGTAACAATGGTAAATATCTGTGAATGAATTTAGAAAGTATATTTTTTCATTTGGTTGTCAGAACAACCTAATATAGGAGAAAAGTACATTACCCAGAGCGTCATAGTTACACAGTAAAGAAGAAAAACACTCTAATCCAGTTCTTCTGATTCCAAATTTCATGGTTTCATCAGCATGTTATACAATTCCCGAGGAAGTCTTGAGTTGAGAGCACAGGATTTGAAATGTGAAAAACCTGTGTTCAAACCTAGACCTTCCGTGTACTGTGGAATCTTGTTAAGTTACCAGATATCTATGTGTGACATCCTCCCTTTGTGAAATCAGGATAATGATGCCAACGTCTCAGCCGCAGTTTGAATACTGATTATGTTTATAATGTACTTAATGTAATGCCTGACAGGGTAAATATTCAATAATAGTATTTTAATGTACCTAGACAACTTTTTATTGTTAGATAAAAGTATGTCACACTAATGCACAGTGGCTGAATATCCACTGTGGGCCTCAAAATCTGAATGAAAGAGAATCAGGTTCAATATTTAATAGCCATTGAGCCAAGCACATGAAAACAAAATTGCCTAATCTTTCTTTTTAAAAATACTGTTACTCTTTATGATGTTTTCATCGTTATATATTTAGCTACTATAATTGTAAACTTAAACTAGTGCAACCTGGGTTTCTCAACCTTATAGTAAAAATGCGATAGCAATAACTATCATAGAGTCTTTCTCTGGCTCTATTTCTGCCCTCTTTCCAAGGCCTCTCACCTACTCAGATTAGTCTGAAGAAGTGATCCTGCGCTGATCTTCTTGGTGGTATATTAAAGTAGTTAGAATCATTGATGTTAGTGCTGGACTGCTCGAGTTCATGTTGTAGCTCTACTGTCTACGACTTTTAAGTGTGAGTTTGGACAATTTGCTGTGCTGTGTGTCAATTTCCTCATATGTAAAAATGAGGCAAATACTAGAATCAGTGTCATAGAGTTAAAAGGGTTAAGTGAATATTTGCAAAGCACTTAACATAGCAGTGTGTTATTATTTTCATACCACAGTTTCTCCATTTACTCCTTTCCTACCATTATATTGCCTGTCAACCAAATCACTTAACAAATATTTATGAAATGACTATGATGGACCACAACTCTTCTAAGTATTAGGGAGGAATGGTAAATAAGACGGAAGACAGTCCCTGCTTTCCTGAAGCTTACAGCCAGGGGCTGCTTAAAGTTACAGGAGTCTCCACCACTGCGGCCCCGCTTCAAAGGTTTAGCTGTTGCTGGTGATACCAAGAATATACATACTGAAAGCTTATTTGCACATGTTGAGCTTGATTGCACAGAATTCTCCCATTATGCAAGAAAACTGGCACCAAAGTGGCTGATGCCTTGTAACCCAACACATTGAGTTTTTACTCTTTTTCGCTACTCCCTTATCCTAGGACTCAGGCAAGAGGACAGGTTAGAGGACAGTGAGGAAGAAAAGCATTATCTTCTCCCAAGTGACACTTGCTCACCAGTTCTGACTCTGTATCTTTGAACAGAACTTCATGTTCCTTGACTCTCTTTCCTTGGAATGTTCTTTTTATGGAAAAGCCACTTGGATACATGCCTCACAGTTCTCCAGACATGTCCAAGTGTGCCTTATTTCTAGGGCAGCTGTTGCTAATGGCACATATAGGGAATCCCTACTTTACTGGGGTTTTCATGCCTTAGAAAACTCATAACAAAATCATGGAGTGTGTTTGACTTAAAAAGTGTATGATGGCCAACAAGCACATGAAAAGATACTTAACATCACTCATTATTAAGAGAAATACAAATCAAAACAACAATGAGATACCACCTCATACCAGTCAGAATGGCCGTCATAAAAAAAAGTCTACCAATAAATGCTGGAGAGGGTGTGGAGAAAAGGGAACACTCTTGTGTTGCTGGTGGGAATGTAAACTGATATAACCAGTATGGAAGATGGTATGGAGATTCTTTAAAAAGCTAGGAATAAAACCACCGTATGACCCAGCAATCCCACTCCTAGGCATATACCCTAAGGAAAAAAAATGGAAAAAGACACATGTACCCCAGTGTTCACTGCAGCACTATTTACAATAGCTAGAACATGGAATCAACCTAGATGTCCATCTACAGATAAAAGGATAAAGAAGCTGTGGTACATGTATACAGTGGAATACTACTCAGTCATAAAAAGGAACACATTTGAGTCAGTTCTAATGAGGTGGATGAACTTAGTGCCCATCATACAAAGTAAGTCAGAAAGAGAAATATAAGTATTGTATATTGACACATATATATATGGAATCTAAAAAGATTGCTTTGATGAATTTATTTTCAGGGCAGCAATGGAGAAACAGAGATAGAGAACAAACCTATGGACATAGAGGAGGGGAAGAGTGAGAAGGGGAGGTGTGTGGAGAGAATAAAATGGAAATTTACAATAGCATATGTCAAATAGATAGCCAGTGGGAGTTTGCTGTGTGACTTGGGGAACTCCAGCAAGGGCTCGGTGACAGGCTGAAGGGCGGGCTGGGGAGGGCGGTGGCAGGGAGGCTCTGGAGGGGGGGGACGTGTGTGCCGAGGGCTCATCCTTGCTGATGACAAAACCACAAAATTCTATAAAGCAGTTACCCTCCAATATAAAAAAAAAAAAGTATGTATTATATAACTTATGTTGAGATATCTGGTTGCTTTATTAAGTCTCATAATTTTCAATTGTCAATTAAATATTATTTTAAGTATTTTTTAACTTTGAGGTAATAATTCCAAAACAAAAGTAAATATTCAAATAGATTTATCTTTTATGTTTTAGAATGTGCTACTCTTCATGATATGATAAAAGGGCTGCAGCATACCATTGAAAGTCAACATAATTTGAAGGGTAAGTTAGAAAAAAAGTAAAATCTAAAAAATAATATGGTTGTATTTAAGCATCTTTAAGAATAGAAAGTTTTTACATTGGTGACAGTAATCTTCTCTTAATCTGATCTTGTTAAATTTATCAGCTAAGAGCAGGATTCCTTACTATTCAATATCTTCCTAAATTATTGTAACATAAGAAATGTCATGCTGAACAGAACAATTCAGTCATATTCTGACAAGAACATCAGGGTTTTATAGTTGATCATAATAATTCTCTTTATTATTTTAGAAAGGTTAGAAATATATTTATTCTCAGTAGTATTCTTGGTCTTTAATAACCTTGTGTTCAATTTTAAAAGATGGGTATATGAGTAATTACATCATGAGTATTCTATTCAAACTTCAGTGATAGTTTAGTTTACTATTTAATTTCTGTCACTAAGTCAGGCTTTATTTATGTAAATGAAGCTAACATCTTCAGCTTGTCTTACTTGGATAGTCATGCTGAGCCAATAGGCCACCATTGACAAAACAAGGCAACCAAGTGTTTTGTCTTGCTTTAATTTAGCTACAGTGCAATGTTAGTGGCATTTTCCTCTACTATAATTAATTAATAAAAGTCGTTCAGTCGTGTCCCACTCTTTGTGACCCCATGACCATACAGTCCATGGAATTCTCCAGGCCAGAATACTGGAGTAGGTAACCTTTCACTTCTCCAGGGGATCTTCCCAACCCAGGGATTGAACCCAGGTCTCCCGCATTGCAAGCAGATTCTTTACCAGCTGAGCCACAGGGAAGCCCAAGAATACCTGAGTGGGTAGCCTATCCCTTCTCCTAGGATCTTCCTCTACTATGTTAGAGTTTAAACTAAATTGCCTCTATGGTCTCATAAAACTGACACCAAACAATACGAATTTTTTATCTTAGTCCTCTGCTTTTCTCATAATGAAACTACTTTACATATGTAGGGGCGATACAATACTGACCTTACATGGTATTTATTTGATTTGATGTGTTATTCCTTATAGTCTTTTAAGAATTACTGTTACTTCTTATTTTTTCCTCATTACATTACCTTAAAATATTTCCTCAAGTGTTAGTGAAACAAATATAGAAACTGGATCAGAAGACTTCACACGTACACTGCTCAACAGCATCTGCAGTTCATAAGGATTCATTTCCATGTTAATACACTACTAAGAGCCATTCTGGAGATCAAGAAGGGTAGTAGATAGGGAACCATACCATCTCCAATATCTTTTTTAAATTTTTTCCTACAGATATCTGATTACGGTATGTCCCATAGGTTTTTGCTTGACTTGGTTCTAGCATCCTGCTCATTTTTTCCCAGTATTTGATCCCTATCCCACACCTGGTTTGGGCTTTCAATTTTCTATCTCAGTGCCAATGGCTCAGAACAACTTTTCCTTTCTCTGACTAAATATGACACCCATCTGCATTTTTTTTTAATGTATCTGTTCATAATCCTTTATAGGATTCAACTCTTTCCAGTTTAACTCTTTCCAGGATTTTGTTCACATAAAACATCTACCAGAAATTAACATTAAATACTTTGAAGTTCCAGAAAGTTGATAATTATAAACATGTTAAACATATTGCTTTATAAGAGATTATCAAATATCAACCAATAGTCAAGAATATCATATTTTCAGATATGGCAGTACAGATCTTTTAATAATCCATTTCTGAAAAATGGATATGCTATGCTGCCTCTCAGAAAGAAAGTGATTCACTGATTTCATTTGTCCAGTGCTTCTACAGGTTTTGATCAACATGATAGATGTGAACTACCTGTCTGTCTTCTCTTTCATCTGTTTGGTTCTCAAGATTGTATGGATAATTTGCTTATCAAGGTTACAGTGGTTGTAAATGTCTGCCTCCCTAGATACTATTTCCTTTTCTTAATATAAACCTGACTTTTTTTTTCTAAGATTCATTCTTAATCCATGTGATCATATGCCTTGGGAGAAGTTAGTTACACCCCAACTCCAAGGAAGGGCTTCTGAAATATTTTCCTCTCTTCCAAAAAACTTCTTCTGGTTGTTGTTAAGTCTGCATATAATGCCTGAAATTGTTGCAGACTGTTTTCTTTCAACCTGAAAGTGATGACAACATTGAGGAGAGCAGCAAGAAGAGACTAAAAGGACATGATGTCTTGACTGCATTATTGAGTTACTGAACCAGCTGCCCTCTAAACTTAAGAGTTTCTTCAGCCACTATGAGAGAAATGATACCTCCCTTTACTCTCATCCATCAGTCTTTTCAGTAGTTGCTTATGGGCTGTGTAAAAGATGATCCATTGAAATGCAGAAAGAAAACAACACAATTCCTATTAATGCTTATGTTTTATTAAAAGTAGTCATGTACTAGAGAAGGAAATGGCACCCCACTCCAGGACTCTTGCCTGGAAAATCCCATGGACGGAGGAGCCTGGTAGGCTACAGTCCATAGGGTCGTGAAGAGTCGGACACGACTGAGAGACTTCACTTTCACTTTTCACTTTCATGCATTGGAGAAGGAAATGGCAACCCACTCCAGTATTCTTGCCTGGAGAATCCCAGGGACAGAGGAGCCTGGTGGGCTGCCGTCTATGGGGTAGCACAGAGTCGGACACGACTGAAGCAACTTAGCAGCAGCAGCAGCAGTCAGTCATGTATGGATGTGAGAGTTGGACTATAAGGAAAGCTGAGCGCTGAAGAATTGATGCTTTTGAACTGTGGTGTTGGAGAAAACTCTTGAGAGTCCCTTGGACTGCAAGGAGATCCAACCAGTCAATCCTAAAGGAGATCAGTCCTGGATTTGCATTGGAAGGACTGATGCTGAAGCTGAAACTCCCAATACTTTGGCCACCTCATGCGAAGAGCTGACTCACTGGAAAAGACCCTGATGCTGGGAAAAATTGAAGGCGGGAGGAGAAGGGGACAACAGAGGATGAGATGGTTGGATGGCATCACCGACTCAATGGACATGAGTTTGAGTAAACTCCAGGACTTGCTGATGAACAGAGAGGCTGGGTGTGCTGCAGTCCATGGGGTCGCAAAGAGTCGGACATGACTGAGCGACTGAACTGAAGGCAAATAATTTGATGAAAATTTAATAATGGAATGTTATTCCTTATTCTTTCTGCATATCAGTTATACATCATTTATGATACACAAGATTCTTCTTCTCCCAAGGAGAGTAGGAGTTCTAAAACTAAACAGTTGCATCTTTATTTTTTCTTGTCTCAGTGTACTGATATGTAGTACAGTCTACATGGACCTGCTTAAGAGGGTTTATACATTATATTAACTACTTACAATCAAAATAATCCTTTCAAATTGGACAGTAGCTTTAAGAAATAAAACATGTTTGACAATAGCACTAATAATGCAAGCACAAATCAGCAATAAAAAAGTAGCAAAAAAAAAAGTAGCAGAGCTGTCATTTCTACTCTTGTGCAAGTTCAGACACATTAAAAAGTTTAAAAATAATGAAAAACTATCATAACTGATGAAATGTCAGACAATGGTGGCCAAGTATAACTGCTTTGGAAAAAATCTATAGCAGGACTGTTTGCAAATGAATATTTAGAAATGGTTTCATCATTAAGTGATTGGGGGCCAAAAATGTGTCAACTTTAAATATTTTTACTTGCGTATTAAATTTGGCATAGAAATGCTAAATTCAATTAAAAATTCTTCAAACAATGATCTAACGATGATTCTCAACCCTTTGTTAAATGTTTGTTTTCAAAAAGCTTTTGAGAGGCTTATAATAACATCAAGGAAGATGGATTTAACAGAATTTCAAAAACAAATCACTTTTGCATAATCAGTGTTTGGGACTGAAAAATGAGTACCTTAGACCCTTCATATCTGCAGGTCCTGCATCCATGGATTCAACCAACCCAGACTGAAAATACTTGAAAAAAAATTCAGAAAGTTGCAAAAAAGCAAAACTTGAATTTGCCAAAGGCTACTAACTATTAATAGCAGAAAGCAAAGAGGAACTAAAGAGCCTCTTGATGAAGGTGAAGAGGAGAATGAAAAAGCTGGCTTAAAACTGAATATTAAAAAAACTGAGATCATGGCATCCAGTTCCATTCCTTCATGGCAAATAGAAGGGAAGAACATGGAAGCAGTGACAGATTTCCTCTTCTTGGGCTCTAAAATCACTCAGGGTGGTGACTGCAACCATGAAATTGGAAGACAACTGCTTCTTGGCAGGAAATCTATGACCAACCTAGACAGTGTATTAAAAAGCAGAGACATCACTTTGCTGACAAATGACAAAGGTCCATCTAGTCAAACCTTTGGTTTTTTCCAGAGTCATGTACAGATGTACCATAAAGAAGGCAGAGCACCAAAGAATTGATGCTTTCAAACTGTGGTGCTAGAGAAGACTCTTGAGAGTCCCTTGGACAGCAAAGAGATCAAACCAGTCAATCCTAAAAGAAATCAAGACTAAATACTCATTGAAAGGACTGATGCTGAAGCTGCAATGATTTGGCCACCTGATCCGAACAGTTTACTCGTTGGAAAAGACCCTTATGTTGATTAAGACTGAAGGCAGGAAAAGAGGGCAACAGAGGATGAGATGATTGAAAGGCATCACTGATTCAATGGACATGAACTTGGGCAAAGTCCAGGAGATGGTGAGGGACAGGAACGTCTGGCATGCTGCAGTCCATGGGGTCACCAAGAGTGGGACATGACTTGGTGACTGGACAACAACAAAAGTAACTATTTACATTGTATTTATAACTATTTACATAGCACTTACATTGTATTAGGTGTTATAAGTAATCTAGAGATAAAAAATATTAAAAAGATATACAGGATGTGCATGCTGCTGCTGCTAAGTTGCTTCAGTCATGTCCGACTCTATGCGACCCCATAGACGGCAGCCCACCAGGCTCCCCCATCCCTGGGATTCTCCAGGCAAGAATACTGGAGCGGGTTGCCATTTCCTTCTCCAATGCATGAAAGTGAAAAGTGAAAGTGAAGTCTCTCAGTC